GGAAGGGAGGGAGGGAGGGAGGAAGGAAGGAAGGAAGGAAGGAAGGAAGGAAGGAAGGAAGGGAGGGAGGAAGGAAGGAAGGAAGGGAGGAAGGAAGAGAGGGAGGAAGGAAGGAAGGGAGGAAGGGAGGGAGGGAGGGAGGGAGATAAAGAGAGAAGAGGGGGAGGAGGAAAAAGGAGGGTGAATGGGAAGGAGGAAGAAAGGGAAAGAGGGAGTGAGAAAGGGAGTTTTTGCTCCCATCTGCTCCAGCCAGTCTTTGGTCTCCTGGTGCCTGCTCCCTGATCCCTTTCTGAAAAACTTCCTACACTGCCTTTCTGAATCTAGCATACTTTTCTCAGAGAGTTTAAGAGGGATAGATTTCAAGATGGCTCTCCATCTGCCAGGAAATTTCCTCAAAGGCTCTAGAAACTTCTCAAACCTCTTCTCTCTGATATCTTTGATATATTTTAACCTAACTGATCCTGTACCTTTCCTTCTGCGATCCAATTCCTATGGTACAAACGTGTTCAGTCATCTCATACATAGGAAGATTCCAGAAACCTTGACCAGACAGCAAGCTCCCAGCCTGTCTCTCAACTGCTCTCTGGTTCCACCTACCTGAAGGGTTCCACACACTCCCTCCAGAATTGAAGTTGATGTGACCCTGATCAGAACTGTAATGGGGACACCTGATTCTGTCCTCTGTGTGATGGGGACTCTGCCATATTTAACTAACCCCTTTATCCCCTGCCCTAAATGCAGGGCACACCTGAGTTCTCACACAGACTGCATCTACTAGTGGGCAGGGTGTTTCATCAAGCCAGTTCCAACCAAGGCCACCAAGAACAATAGAGGCTTTCTCTCCATCAAAGCAGAGGCCACCTGTAAGTCCCCTTTATCTACTGCCCTGTGGCCAGTCCAGCACTGGGAGCTGAGGCCCTGAGTCATGAGGAGAACACCCCTCTGTCTAGTGACACTCCCCCCCCATACACACACACTAGACAGATATTCCTTTCCAGGGCAGGGGAAGTGTCGACAAGCCTCTCCAGCCACCTAGACTGCCCTGTCACCAGTAGCCCATAGACCTCCCACCTCCTGTGGCTGGAGACAGCAAGGAGACCCTCTGGACATTCACATCCCAGTTCCTCAGGGAGCTCCAGGCAGGGGGCAGCCAGGCAGGCTGGGAGGGCTCCATTGTCTGCATGCCCCACCCAGCTCGTTAGGAACAACATGTTGCTCTAATTACACTTCCCAGGAAAAATAGTGTTTCAAATTAAGGCCTTGGGGGAGGAGAAGGGGGATGGGGGACCACTGGGTTTTTTTCCTGATTGCAAAACAGTGATTTTTTTTTCTTTCTAGTGGTTGTAAGGGTGCAAAGAGACTACCTCCAGCGAATCTCAGAATAAAAAACATACAACCTGTAGTCTGGATTGGGAAAGGTGAATAGGGCGGCAGCTGGTTGGCACTTCAGTGGCAATGAAGCCAGCCAGGAAGCATACAAAGCCTTCCACTGGGGCATCCCCTGCCACAGAGCAGGAGAAGAGACAGAACCACACCCCTTGGATGGTGGAACCTCAAAGCCCTGGGGGTCTTCCTCTATATGCATTCCACTTCACAGGGGTCCTGCTTGTAAGGAGCTCACCAGCAACTCCCCTGCCATGTGTGCATGTGCGTGTGTTCTCAAGAGTGTACACGCGCGTGCGATGTGCTCACACGTGCATGCACACACCCTTCATTTCTCAGGAAATCTAAAATTGCAATTTGTTTGAACTCATTCCCCCTTGGCAGCATGGACCGCCTTTGTTCTCCAGACAAAAAAGGAAAGGAACGAGACGGGGACTCAGAAGAGGCTGGAGAAAGAGGGAGGTGGGCCAGGGAATACAGAGAGGAAGGGTGAAATGGGAAGGGGAGGATGGGAAGAGATTCAGAAAAAGAGAAAACGACAAAGGCAAAAAGACAGGCAGGTTGAGAGAGCAGAAAGAAGCCACTCCTTCTGTCTACTCTCTGGTGGTAAGAACCCAGGCCTCCAACACAATCCAACAGTCCACTTTCCCAAGAGCCCCAGAGAGGAACTTTCAGGATGGACAGAGCCTAAAAGAGGGATACTCTCGCTCATCAAGCTGACCTGAGGCTGGAATGTACTCCAGATTCAAGGAATCTAAAGTGCTCGGTACCCCTCCCCCACCCTTTCTGCCAATCCCGGCTTCAAAAACTAGTTCAGTGTCTCTTCTTCCAGGAGGCCAGTCCACAAGCCCTCTGCAAGAGCAACCAGCATTATATCTCACTCATGGGCATTGTAGCTTCTATACAGATGCATGTGAATCTCTATACCTGGCTGAGATAGAGGATAATTGCTTCCCACTGGAGGGGTCTTTAGATTGCTGATCCAAGTTGTTTCTCCTGACCACACCCCGGCCACCCCCACTGGAGGCTGGACCTCTATCACTGCAACTGTCTCAATCATCACTTAGTTAGGCTCTCCCAGTAACTTCCTAATCCCTCACCTGTCCCCACTCCAGACTTCCCAGAGCTCCCATTACCAATGAGAAGGCTGGTATACAGGGAGAGTCTATGAGAGGCTGAATGGCAACATAAGGCAGGAGGTAGGATGTAGCAAAAAAGAAAAACCCTACCAAGATGTCAGGCCTTCCTGTGGAACCTCTTGGCTTCCACCCAGCTCTTTGGGAATCTTTTGTCAGTCATGGGGCTTGAATTCTGGGCCTGAGTGCTGTCCCTGAGCTCTTCAGCTCAAAGCTAGCTCTGTACTGCTTGAGCCACAGCACCACTTACAGTTTTCTGGTGGTTTATTGGAGATAAGAATCTCATGGACTTTCCTGCCCATTGCTGGCTTTGATCCTAGATCCTCAGATCTCAGCCTCCTGAGTAGCTAGGATTACAGGCAAGAGCCATCGGCTCCCAGCCTCTTTTTGGAATCTTAAAGCCAAACAGTACCCAGAGTCTTGACTTGGACTCAGCCTTCTAGTGAGGGAGAAATGAGCTGAGCTACTGGCCATAGCTGGATTGAACACCCCCAAGGGATGAAGGCAATCACAGGTCATTTTGTGGGGTTGTCCCCTGAATCAGATGATACACTCCTCATATTATACTGGGCCTCAGACCTTTTGAACCTGTGCCTCAGACCAACCCTGTATCCAGGAGACCCCCAGGACTGCTTCTCTCCCAGCCCTGCTGACCACAAAAGGCCTCAGTCTGTGGCCTGGCTGGCCCTAGTAGGACACTTGGCTTTCTTTAGGTCTGGCCCCAAACTGCAATTTTGATTTGCTTCCTGACAACCAGACCACAGCCAGATCCCTGCTCTCAGAATCTGAGCCTTTGCCGTTATATATGACAAATCCAGTTATTAAGGATTTTAACTTCTTTTTTTTGTTGTTGTTTAATAACCCATCCCTGGGCTGGGTCTTCTTTAGAGCAGGCTGTGGGTTTTGGCCACAGAGTGCTCTCAATCAAGAGTGAGGGCTCTGTGCTGCTTCCCTGGACAGGACTCTGCCTCCCTTTCCAAACGGCAGTCTTTCGCAACTGCAGCCAGAAGCAGGAGGCTGCCTGTCAGGCGCAATTATGGCCAGCTCACTTGGCGGACCCCACCTTGGTCTGGGAGCAAAAGGAAGTGAGGTAAGAGGCGCAGGGACTTCAGATCCCACATCCTGATCCTGAGCTTCGAGTCCAAATGTACTGAAAATGTCAAATGGTGTCCGCTCCCAGGCTGGGGATTCCCTGATTGCAGGAAGTGGCTGCCCTTTCCCCAGTTCACCCAGGGCTCTCCGTCCTGTCTCCCTGCCCCACCCCCCACCCCAGCTCGCCCATAACCAGGATCCTCACAGATGCCCCTCACCCTCCGGGATGTGGTCTGTTTTGTTAGGATGCAAACTCCAAACTTCTTCAGTTCCCAACGTTCGGCAGCACTTCCCTTCTGGGACCCTGTATTATGTCTTAGCTCCATGGACCAACCACACATTTACCATCTTCTTCCTAAGTGTTACAACAATGTCCAACTAATGCTGCTTTCACCAGAGAGCTTCCTTGGCTACTCTTGCCTCTACTCAACATCTTATTCATGAACATATGTCACCTGCTACTTAACCAGGTATCTTCATCTGAGTAGTATAGGTGAGTTTGTCCTCTTAATAGGCACCTCTTAAGAGTCTGAAGCTAGAATCACCCCCTGGATATACCCTAGACTGTCATGGATCCACACAGAGCATAGGGAACAAAATCTAGATGGGTTTCCATGTGACTCATGCCTTCTGGGTACTGGGAAACTGAAAGGCTCTGGGCACATGCTGAAGTGGGTCTGTACCTCCATCTGTGTCTGCTACCCCCCTCTCCCCAGCCACAGGTTCAGCTCACCTCATCCAGGATCCTTGATGTGTCTTGTACCTAGATCACAACCACAAGATGTTCCATATCCAGGCAAGAGTGGGGGAACAAAGATGGGGCAAAGTTCTCCATTAGTAATCAGGAGCATAGCTGGGCAATACCAGACATCAACACACCACAGATATGGTGAAACTCTCACCCACACCCTCCCCCCAAGGTGGTCCCAGAGCCAGAGGAACCAATGAATGCCAAGTAGAAAAATCCACACAGCTCCAGAAATGGGAGGAGGAAAGAGAGTAACAGAACAGGGAATGGGAAGGGCCTGGAACCCTGGGCAGTAGCCCCAGAAGTAATCAGGCCCCTAGAGTTGTTGCTCCTGCAGAAGCCTGTGGATTTGCTGAGCCAAGGAGAACAACAACCTCGAGTCTACAGGCCTATAAAAACTGAGCTCTAAAGCTCAGATGGGCTAGGAGTATGGAAGACACAGGGAGCTAGAGAGATGGGGCAAAGGAGAGTTTGTGTGGCAAGAATTGTCTAGAATGAGTGGGCTGCCTCATGAAGGCAAATGAGGAGTCCACACATCCCAGACAGCTGCAGCTGCACCTGTTCTGGCCTCGGAATCCCATAAACCTGGTACCAAAGTTCTACAACATCTAGGTGGGATGGGTCAGGATCTTCTGTCTGTCATGCCTACCCTGAAAAGATTGTGATCACAGGGAAGCTAGAAATCAGTTTAAACATAAAAACAAGACTTACCTCGAAACCAGGAATATGGTGGATGGCCGGCTAGGAAAAGGAGAGGAGACTTTGGTCATGTACTTGTCACCCAAGTGACACCCAAGTAAAATCTCCATTCTGGCCAGACAAACACATAAATGACAGCAATAGAACATATCCCTGATTAGACAAACCAGAGCTTTGTAAACTGTTTCCTGGGAGAAGGCATAGTTTACACTTTGGGGTTCACATCATAGCAAGAACAAACTTAAGGGCAGTTTGTTTCCTAGCAGGTATTTGGCTGCCGAGGCCACACAGACACATAGTCAGGCCGTGGCAGAACCAGCACTGAACCCTGACTCTTGTCCTTCCCCACCACTGGAGTGTTCTCATTGCTGCAGCAAAGGCTCCTCCCCCAGGCCTCACAGCCCCCACCCCCCAAATCACATGGGAGGGACACTTCCCTGGCAGAATAAAGCCAGTGGCCAAAGGATTGACATTCCTAATTCCCACATTCTATTGCAGTGATCTATTCTGTCCCAATCTGAAAAGATATATATATAAAAAAAACAGGTTTCCAGAGGAGATCTAACTTAGAACAAGCCACCCAGGCTCCCACTGAGTGCTGGCCCCTTCAGGGGAGAAGAGTACATCAGAGCAACAGCCCTACCCCACTGTGCACCACCAAGCCCTTGCCCTACATCCCAGCTGGGCCTCCTGAGTTTGCATGTGGAGCAGGCTCACCTTCTCTCTCTGGATAAGCTCAAAAGATGCCAGAAGCTCACCCGCTGGCTGGCTACCCCTCATCAGTGGGAACCAGGCCAGCCGGGGTATCCGTTCCAGGCTTGGCTGACAGATGCAGCGGCCCATAAACTCATCTGCACCCTAAAGCAGATATAGAAGAAGAGAAGTCAATAATCTCCCCAGCTCAGGTCTGGGAGTGGCCTCCAAGAGAACCAGGCCTGCATCTGACCTCCTGGGCTAGAAAGGACCTCCCAGGTAGGACAGCCCCTTTTTGCAGAATGGACAATGACTATACCTCAGAATCCTCTGGCCACTGTGCTATATTTGAATTCCCACCATGACTAGGAAATCCCTCTGAATGCCCAACTACTGTCCTTCCTGCTTTAATTTAATCCAGCCCTGCATCCACTAGAACCAGAAGAACAGCCTTCTACATTTCTCTAATGCCCTCAACCAAGTCTGTGTTCAACATTGCTGGGGAATGCATCTCCTGACTATTCACTTTACCCTAAATTCTTCCATTTCCAAATGGGAAAGCTGTGATATCACTTATCAATTCAAGTGAGTCTTGTTAAAAATGATGTTTTCACCTGACAAATTTCTTTGCCTAGGTGCCTTCTCCTGGCTCCCTGCTGCTCAGAGTTCAGCATCCACACGCTCCTCTGGCACCAAAGTCTTCACACTGCAGCCTGCACACGTCTCCTTCTCTGCCTCACTTCCTGCCCACACATCCTCCACTCCAGCCTGCCAGCTTCAGCTGCCTTGGCATGGCTATTTCCTCCAGTGGTGCTGGCCTCTCCCTTCTCCACCTCCTACACAGACACTTCCCTGCCCAAGCTCAGCAGACCTCAGTCTCAGCCAGATGATGTCGTGGCCCTCACAAATTCTCAAGCTTTGCCCAGCACATGGAGACCCAAAACATTCTCTGGGTAGTAGCCCTGTCTGTAGTCATGGCACTGCAGGAGACCTCAATATCCCAAGAGCCATCCTGAGACAGCCACCAGCTCCTGAAGAAGTGCCCACAACAGTAACAACCCAGCACCAATGGCTCGGAGTGGACAGTAGCCATAGCACTGGAAATAGTCCGGGTTTCTCTGGCCAACGGTCACCCCTCAAGCTTGCTGGGTGTTGGAGAGGAATAGGACTAGCTGAGTGCCTGGGCAGGCAGGAACTGCAGAAGCTTGAGCAACGATCCCCTTTCAGCTGTACAAAATAAACAATGGGTACAATCTAGTGTATCCTCAGAATCCCGGGAAAAAGAACAAAAGCATGGTTTTCCCCCTGGATTCCTCTTGCCCACTGGCCTGCAGGAGAATGACAGGCTAAGAGCAATAGTCTAAGAAGAGGAGTTTGGGTGCTTTGTAAGACAGTCTATGATGGCCAGCCAGGCATGTTGTCAAAGAGTTTGTGGCCTGAGTTAGGGGTAGTTAGGTGCCAGGCCCTGAACTTTTCTCCATAATGTCCTAACCAGACTCCTCTCTCCAATTCCCTCCTGTGGCCCCAGCTTTTCTCTTTTTTTTTTTTT